TGGAAAAACAGAGCAAAATTCATATTGTTTGGGAAATAGAGATACGTAGTACACAAAAATAATACATTATTAAGGGATGCCTATACAGCTTATTTGAGAACAGACACACTAAGGTAACCAACTGCAGTAAAATATTGTTGTAGAGTGAGAAAGCTCAAATGAAAATATTAGCAGAGAGACATCTTTGCCAACCTGACACAGAAGCATTGCATCCCATTTTGGAGTGAAAACTAAAAATAGACTTCAGATGTTTGAGGATTTCTTTTTTGGAGGGACAAGGTGGGTATCAGAGGTGTCTGAAGCTTGTATTGCCAGCACTTTGGATTGCAGGAGCGAAAGGGAAGTTTCTGGGATCTGCAGTCATGGAACTGGGGACAAGGAGTACCTGTAGCTGGATACAGACCAAGCTTCAGAGACAGTAGCAGCACAGTATCATCCACATGTCAGTACAGCGAAATCTGCTTGCCCTGCAGGTGAGACTCATTAGCACGGTGCATCACTACTTACCACGCCAACATCATGCAAGTCTGACTGGTATCGCTAGAGTCAGGGAAGACATATTTGGAAATGATCCTCTACTAGAGTGTTTGTATCACCACCGAGAGCCTCAGAGTGACTTACAGCTGTGGGATGTGATCTAGATCCTCTGCAGGAGTTGGGACTTCCATCTTCTCAAGAAAAGATGCGTCTGCTTGATTACAGCATCTTCCAGGAAAGAAAACTGAAAGCCCAAGCAAAACCCCAGACTGCACCAACCTTTCACCTGTGCAGCAGGCCTCAAGGAGGGGCGGAGCAGCAGAAAAGGTCAATTACCCCACTGGAGCTCATTCTGTACCTGCCCTCTGCTTAAAATGGGGATTTATCTGGCTTACTCTTTTACTAAGCTATGAATTCTTAGAAATAGCATTTTTCATCATATTTCCCCTGCTTTGGAGAATACAACATGCACTGTCTCTATGGCTGAATGAAAGGTCATGACTGGCCAGCTGGTAACACAGAATGCATTTTTACATTGATGGCAGGGTATTCTAGCTTTTGTTTCAGATTACAATGATTGCATATTTACACAAACCCTACATCTGTTTAGCTAGATTAAGCCAGAGGGTGATGATCTTTGTCTTTTCAAAAGAGGCGATTTAATTTTATTGAACATAGTTTCCATTTAAAAGATCAAAGTCAGTGCAGTCCCCTGCAGCAACAATTCAGTCTAAAGTGTTTCTTCAAATATTCAAATTAAGAAAATAGGGGAACTGGGACTGAAAAAGCTAATGAATTTTAACAGACAACTAGAAATTATTAATTCCTTTAAAAAATGCAAAATAAAAATAAAAACTCTTTGGAGCCTTCGTTCATCCTGTGCTTGAAAAGAGACATTTTACCTTCCATCAAAGTCCCACAAAGTCCTGACTCTCCTGCCTCTGAAACTGTCAGGAATTGATAGTGGTGGCAGCATGCACATTTTTAAGCAAATTTATAGAAGCTGGTAATGCTATGGGGAAAAGGCACAAAACATAGAACAGTCAAGAAAACCTGGTGAAGAACTGGCCTCTCTAGCCATCATGTGTTAGTTCCAGGCACTCAGCACACTGAACTCCTACTTGATGAAGCATCAGTGTGTATGTAAAGTCACTTGCTATCCTTACAGAAAATAATGGTAAAAATCATGACTATGAAACTTTATCTGTAATGGAGATAGATATTTTCTGTCTTCTAACAGAGCCTGCATGTCATCTTCTAGCATCTGAATTTGGGGAACTAGTCTTTGTCTTGCAAACTTTTATTTTTGGGAGGATAGTGTCTGACTACCAGCCTTCATTTCGCTGCTGAAGTTTGTTGCTTGCTTGCAAGTGTTTTTCTCCCCTCTCAGGCTGACAGCAGCACTGGATGAGAACCATGGCAATGTCCCATGCTACAGCAAGATGGGACCAAGCATGCACCCAAATCCACTCTTCCCTGCTCCCATCCTGTGGTTACCTCCTGCAGGAAACCTGGAAACATGGACCAAAAAGAGCTGTAGCGTGTTCCAGGTGAACCCTCAATAAGGACACTGAGGAAACCAGATCCAAAGCCTGTTTTGGCTCCGAGGAAACCTTTCAAAGAGATTCATGTTGCTTCTACATTAAATCTGTGTAACACATCCACATTAGCATTTCAGCTTGGATTAGAAATGTATTTCTGAAACGCTCCTCCTGACACCCCTCCTCACCCTGCTTTGCTTCTCATTGTTGTGTCCGTGAACTGGACTCTATCCAGACAAAGCTAAACCAAAAGATCTGGTGTAGGAGCACGCTTACTTCATGACAGCCGCTGACGTGAGAGCAGCCCGTGCAACCAGATAAGAGCTGGTCTGAAAGAAATCTCTGAAATACATGGAGGGCACACGCTGGGTCCTCTGCACCAGCTTCTCTGCGCTACGGATCTGCCCTACTTGTTCCAGGCCACCTGCTAATACAGGCACAGCCCAGAGAGGCTGCTCTGCTGCTTTCTAACCCTCTCACTGCTTAAACGAGTGGATAGTACCGTTTTAGGCACCATATGGTATCCCTGCAGGCCTCCAGCTGTCGCTCTGTAGATCAACAGCTCAACCAAATGTCTCCTGTCATATCTGGCAGCCCCATGCAGACATCTCAGATACCTCAGGGAGACTAACTGGCTGTGGATGTCTGTGTTTAGACAACTGAACACCATTTTATTTAGGTATTTATTCTCCTCTAGACCAAAAAAGTTGAAGCAAATGAGACTAAAAATGAGTGAGTTCTATAAAATAAAATAAAATAAAATAAAATAAAATAAAATAATAAAATAAAAATCTTGTAAAATTCTGTCATATAAAACTCCTGGAGAATTTTTTTAAAAAATGCAAAGTACAGAAAATTTAATTTGGGCAAATTAAAGTATTGTTTTGTACTTCAAGAAACATCCCAACTTTACAAACCATATTTATTCTTCAGTAAGGACTGTATTCACTGACTTTAAAAGAACTGCTGAGAAGCTTGATATTAAGTTTCTGTGTGTGTATTTTACTGGTCCCCAGACACTCTGAGGACTGTAGTAGTATCAGGACCTTTGCAGTATCACATCTTAAAGCTAGGTCTGTACTAGTAAATTAGTAAATTATCAAATCACTAAATTTATTGGGGTAGTAATAACAGAAACATGCTGTGGAATATCCTCTGCCCTCAAGATGACTGACAGAGAGCAACCTTTGTCTGTACTAGCAAAACTGGTCTCCAGAATGGGTTGGTCCCAGGCAAAGTGGGATGCTCCAGGGGCTGACCATGCTCGGGACTGTGTGGCAGACACTGGTGGCCACAGGCCAGTGCTGTCATGGGCTGACCTCACAGTCTGACACAATGACCACACTCCAAAGCTGCAGAAAAACAGTTTTAGCTACTGAGACATAGCTTAAGCTTCTGAATCTGTGGAACTAATTGGAGCTTCAGGTCTTTTAAGCACTGAAACCAAAATCCTGACCTCTTGTGGTCATCAAACTGCCCAGCAAAACAGTTTATAGCACACGAAGCAGGTGATGCTCTTACTGGGAGCAATGACAGGTTTTCATATATTCCTGCAGCTCCACTCCCAGACCTGCCTGCATTTCAGCAGCCAGTGACAAACCTCCACATTTGTTATAAATGTAAGTTATAGTGCAGTCTTTTTAGACACTGCAGACAAAAATGTAGCAGAAATGCGTCAGAAATATCACAGAAATTGGAGGTATGGGAGTGATTAGGCACATTAATGTTCTGCATGTGGCATACAACCTCTTGCAGATCTTTAATCCTAACACTGACATGAGAAAAAGACACATTGTTTTGGTCTCCCTTGCTTTGCTGTTCTGTTACTCTGACTAATTAGCATTGGGTTGAAGAAAAACATGGAGTATGAATATATACTGCATGTGTATAATTAATAGTGTCTGATGCCACTCATTGCATATATATTACCAGCACTCTTAAATACAAACTTACACTTTTAAGAACTCAGCATCAAAAAAACAGGTGGTCTGGCTTTACGTGCAAGTTTGCATAAGGGAAAAAAAGCATTTAGTGGTGTTTCTCAGGCCAAGCGATCTGGAAAAGCTAAAGCTGCAAAACATTAAGGGCAGGCACACTATTTGTACCCTAATAGTCTGTGTGCAGGGATGCCCCCTATATGAGAATTTCCTTTATCAAGGACTGAATACCTGAATGCTTCATAATTTCTAAAACAAGTGGAGCACCTACAACTATGTATTTCCAGTCTGCATGCACTGCAAATCCCAAGGCTACTGTTACACAAATAAATCACCAAATACAACAGCATACATTATTAGAACATATAAATGTATTATATTAATAACATATACTCACAACCATTAAACAATGCATTCATACAATGTATTTTTAGAAGTTTTTTTATCACCTTGCATATACAGATTGGATATAGGAACTGCAGTACTGAGTACATTTTTATTTACAATAAAAATACATTGATAATGGCACTTGGCTAACACAGTAAAAAATTCCAGTAAACAACACTGGGCTGCTAGGTGCTCTGTTCCTCAATGTTCTGATCATTTTACTGTTTTATTACTGGATGATATTTCAGCCTCTCCTTGACCACCTAAGGCTGCTGCTGCAATCTAGAGAATTCTGGTACACAACAGATGTGGGAACGGGTTCTCCTGGTGATGAAGATGCAACATGACATCTTGAAATGTCACAGTGTCAGAGAGCACTCCGAGGTACTTTGTACATGATCGTAATATGTTTGTGGCTTTACTAAGAACACTGAACAACGTAGGAGTGGTATTTTGCCTTACACAGGAAAGTACCAGTAGGCAATGTTAAAACAGGTAACGTGCCCAGACTGATGTAGACAGAAGAAAGAGAAGATTCTTCGGTGGGACAAAACACATCACAGAGCATTCTCAGGTACCAAAATAAGAGAGGCAATAAAAGGTATATTTTATGTGCACTAAGAAGTGTATTTTAACTGCTGTTACACAGAAGCTGCTTTCACAAAGCACAGTGTTTTTTAATTAGCTGTAGCACAGTCTTGAGAACCTCTTCCTTGGAGGGGCTGGCATCAACCTCTTGGCATGCAGGATTTACCATCCGTCTGTATGACTCTTCTACTCTATTTCAAAACAAAACAAGAGAAGTGAAACTACAATTTGCAGGGATATGAAGTGGTATTAGTCATTTCTCAGAAGAAAGTGTTTGCACTGCAGAATGAAACCTACTGCAAAAAGCAATAAACTATTAGTAACGATTACAATGCCAACCTCAAAGCACATAGTTCCCTTGACACTGATTCCCAGAGCTCCATCCAATGTTGGCATGGCATGGTATGGTATTAAAGTATTTCTTTACAGTTTAGCACTGGATACAGTCTGGTAGAGCAGTACAGAGGACAGCCTGCTTCTAACACGTGAGTTAATTTATTGTGAACTCACTAAGGTTTCTCTGAATATACGTCATGGCATCGTGCAGGTGTGCTCACTGACTGATCTCAGCTTTGCGTCACTGGAGGACTGGATTGCAGTGACACATCGTTTAACCTTTTTCTCTGATCAGCTTTGCTAACCAGATGAATACTGAGGTGAAATACAGGATGAACACCTTCTCACTTAGACTATAAGTCTTCTTATAATGCAGAACTCTCCTATATTTAGTCTATAAGGATGTGAATGAGAATGTGAATATCATTTTCTAGGTTTCCATAAGAATTAATAATGCCAAACATTCAGGCCAAAAGTTGCAAAACTAATCAAACAAAATTCTGAATGTTCTCACATTCAGGTTGACATAATTAACAAGTAGAAATAACCAAAGGCTTTCTGAAAGGAATAAGAAGAAACAGAATTAAAACATGAGATTCTTAAATGGTAGCATGTTCTCTCAGCTCAACCATCCCTCTGCAGGTCCCACTATACAAACCCTGAGTGCACACAGAGCTTCTGTCAGAATTAAGCAATAGATACTTTTAAGGTATATCATCTCCAAAAACATAAAAACCCTGGAGGCAGATTTCAGCTTTGCCATTTATAGGCTCACCTACATTCAGGTGTCTATACGGTCTATACAGATGTATCTACATGAGCACTAGCTATTTAATTTCCACTTAATAGAAACTTAATGATGACAATGATGACAATGATGATCTAATCAATACATTTGGCAGAGACTAGACAGCAATTCAGCACATCCTGAAGTAGGATACCTAGAGCGCAATTCAGTTGCCTAAGCAGATGTTCTGGACTATTTCATTTAGCTTCCAGTTGCTGGTCCAGAGAGGGTCCACAGGTTCTGCATCACATCTGCCAGCCTCATGCAGATGTCTCAGATCATATCAAATGGTTCTAGACACCTATGAGTAGATCACTGGACAGGTGGTGACCCAAATCACTTTAAAGGCTCCATTGAATGTGTTGACTCTACTGGGACCTGAGACACTTAGCACAAGACATCTACAAGAGATCTAAATTTTATTATCTTAATCTGAAGCTCAATTACAGACTTTTCTGGGAAAGCTACATGTTTTAATTTCTTGCTTCCCAGATCCAGAACCTTTAGATCTTTCTCCTTCATGATCTCAATAAAACTGACTACAATAAAACAATGACTATAATAAAACCAGCAAGTAGCAAAATACAAGGATTTTAACTCAAAGCTCCTTTGCAGGAGAATGATGTTCTTCACCTGCAGCTCTCAAACACTTTCAGTCAGAACTGATGGAATTTATCCTCCTTGTCAGCCATGAATCCTTGGGACATTTTGCTACTGATCCTACAGGAGCGAAGATTGCCTCCACCTTCTTATTCCTTGTTAAAGTGTACCTTTGGCGAAACAAACTGTTAGTTGCCAGCTCAGCTTCCTCTTTTGTTTTCTCCAGTCCCCGCTGCTGAAGTCTCCGGGCTCGCTCCTCTGGGTCAACAGACAGGAGAAGAACAAGGTCAGGTTTAAGCAGATCCTCTGGCCACTGGTACACCTCATCATGAACTGGTGGAAGATCCTGGACTTTCCCCTTTATTTCAGTGGCAATTGTGTAGGCAGCTGTGCTGTGCCAGTATCTGTCAGGAAAATTTTGAAGAGGACACTAATTCTTCAGTAATATGGGAAGCAGGTATCAACATAATGACAACTGCAGTAGGTGACAGGTAGGTGACAATGTAATTTTGAAGGGAACTACAAAGAACAATTCTGTGGCATACATTTTTCTTAATAGAGTGATAATACTCAATGCAATATTCAGAATTACTGTGAATTATTAACTAAAACATATGGCAGAAGCTACACATTAGGCAAAGAGTATTCTAGATACTCCTATCAAAATAAAGTCTTCTCATATAAAGAGTTCAAAAGAAGAGTTACGTTATACATCCAAACCAAATACTCAGTGTCTCTTTTTTGTGGTTCCCATCCTACTTCATGCAACAGATTTGGTAGAGAACATGCAGTCTTAAACCACATGTGAATGAAGACCAACTTTATTAATGGTTACGCACTTCACTTGCATTTAACGTTCCCACCACTATGAGGCACTGTATTTTACAAATTTCAGGAGTTTTGAGGCTGGTTAAAAATGGCAGTCACACATACACAAACAACTTCTGTATATGTATGTTGGAGGCAGAGGCAGTTACAGTACATCTACTGAAACAAGTCAGGGGTTTCAAAGTTCATCTAGACTTCCTTTATTAAGATAAATACTGCAAACTGCCTATACAGTTAGAGAAAACGAGAAATTACATAAACAAAACCAAACAAAAGTGGAAATCCTACTTCTGGCTTTACATCCTCAAAGAGTAAGTTTACCTATAACTCTGTCGTTCTAATCCACCTATATCTCAGATACTTCTTAAACAGCCATGATCAGCAGCCCTCATTCTCCTCAGGTTTGCCACAGAGCCCTGCTCTGGATCAAGCTAAAGGTCCATGCCTCTGCTATTCCTAACTGAAGATACAATGTGTGTGCTACAGCCAGTTACGAATGTTACACTGACAGAAGTCCCCCACCTGACTGTTAGCACAAGTATTACTCTTCAGGAGATTTAATATTTATCCAACTACCTGCAAAGTAGCACTTCCAGAAAGAACAAAACAAAACAAAAAAGAAACCCAGAAACTATCATTGACAATTTCGGCTTGTAACACTGAACAACTGTATGCTGGCACTGATATAAGAGGACTTGAATATACAAACCTGTCTATGATCACAGGTGCCTGAGTAGAGGCTTTCGCTATTTCTGAAGCAAGAATGTAGTTGCCTGCAGCATAAAATGCTCTTCTAATGGGTGCTGGCTCATCATCAAATATTGTCCTCCACTGGCTGATGCAAGCTGGTGGAGACCTGAGCAGAATGGCATTCAGGGTATCCTTAACAGACTGGGTTACAGTGGTTTTGCCTGCATTTCATTTACAGAAGGAAACATTTGTTATGTATCATATACAACGGAGTTTTAAAGACTGAAAAATACTCTTATCTTTTCACTTGGAGCATGTGTTCTGACACCTATGTAACCCGAGTGTCTTGTGATAAGATTTTCAGTGGAAATCAATTATATATCTGGTTCCAGGAATTATTACTCCACTTTCTACTCTCGAGGCCTTTCTCCCCTCCCTCTTTCCAGCTTTCTACCTTCACTCCTTTAAATGCATTAAACACACGGCAATTTCTCTACATTTCCATCTACAGTATTTTTCTAGGTCACAATTCATGTAGATGTTGCCACACTGTCACCCAATACTTTATTTTTAGAAGAGACTTTCAGTTGTCTTGAACTGAAAAGTTAGAAAACAAAGTTATTCAGAGGCAACTGGCATTCCTCTCCAAGGCAAACTCCTGCCAGTTTCCCAGACTACTGCTATTTTCATTCATTTCTTTGAAAACTCTGGTAAAAGTATGTTTCATCACCTGCGCACAAAATTTAATTTCCAGTACTCCACTCTTCGTATTCTTTCATTTACATACATGAAGGAATTCATCCACTGAATGAAAATTGGCATTGACTGTTAGAACTTCTACAAGTAAGAGAATACAGACTAGTATTTATAATTACTAATTCTTTCAAATAATTACAATTATTTCAAATACAAGGATTTCCTGGATTTTTTTGAATTTTTAAGCCTTACACCTGGCTGAAAGCCACCTCTGTTGCTGTTTCCAACCGTGTCTCATCTGTGGTTCTCCAACCACACTTTGCTCTTACCTGTGGCATCCAACCCCTCAAAAGCTACGACAGGAAAACCTCCCTTCTTCTGGTGCTCAGGACACTTCTCCAGCAGGTCCAGCAGCGCCCCGGCCTCCGGGATCCGCGTCGCGCACTGCAAGGACACATATGCGACCCGTCAGACCCGCCTGCC